GCTAGGATTACAGGCGTGAGCCACCGCGCCCGGCCTGGGCTGTTTCTTCTTGAATCTGCTCATGTCCCTGGTTCCTCCTCTTAGATAAGGGCACCCCTGGGCACTTGTCACCTCAACTGGATGCTCAGTAGACGTTCTCCACACTTTCATTTTTCTTGCTCTTAATATCCAGTGGTCGCTCAGTCCTGTTCCTTCCGTGTTCTAAGTCTCTCTTTACTGTGTCTCTCCCTCCCCACCCTGTGGCCATCCCCTAAGTTCAGACCACCGTCCATCCTTCCTTGAATTTATGCAGTGGTCTCCCCCGGGTGTCCCTGTCTCCACAGGGGCCACCAGCATCCAGTCTATTCTTCTCTTTGTGGCCGAGCTGATCTTTCTCAGGGCCCCCTGTGGCCATGGCTCTCTCCTGCTCACCTTTCCAGAGTTCCCGAGTCCACGGGATCCGCTCCAAGCTCCCGAGTGACATTTAAGGCTTTGTGCGATTTGTCCTCTGTTGTCCTTTGCACTGGCCCCACCCACCCCATCCTTCAGATATGGAAAATTTGCCTTTTCCATTTAATTTTTCAAATAGGTATTATATTTACATAGCTCAAAAATTTATTTCCGTGTGTATCTGTATATGGGTACAGACATGAAAAGCCTTTGTCCCATTCCACTGAGGTCCTAGCCCTGTGCCAGCCCCAGTGGTGAGCTGTGCTATTAGTGACCTCAAAGCTTCCTACAGCTTCTTTCTGCAAATCAAATAAGAATTACTGAAAATTGTGGTAAAATACATATAACATAAAATTTACCATTTTAACTATTTTTATGCACAGATTCAGTTACATTTAGATTGTTGTGCAACCATCACGACCATCAATCCCCAGAACTTTTTATCTCCCCCAAATGAAGCTCTGTACCCATGAGCTACTAACTCGTCATCCCCTCTCCCAGCCCCTGGCAACCCCCTTCTGCTTTCTGTCTATGAGGCGTGACTACTCTAGGCACGTCATATAAGTGGAATCATACAGTATTTGTCCTTTCGTGTGTCATTATTTCACTTAGCATAATGTCCTCAAGGGTCATCCATATTGGAGCATGTGTCAGAACGTCCTTCCTTTTTAAGGACGAATAATATTCCATTGTACGTATAGACTACATTTTGTTTATCCACTCATGATCAGTGGCCACTTGGCTTGCTCCCACCTTTTGGCTATTGTGAATAACGCTAATATGAGCCAAGTATACAAATATCTGTTCGAATCCCTGCTTTCGATTCTTTTGGGTATATGCCCAGAAGTGGAATTGCTGGATCATATGGTAATGCTGTGCTTAATTTTTTGAGAAACTGCCACCGTGGCTGCACCATTTTACGTTCCCATCAATGCTGCACAAGGGTTCCAATTTCTCCTCACAACGCTTGTTATTTTCTGGGTTTTTTGATAATAGCCATCCTAATGGGTGTGAAGTGGTATCTCATTGTGGTTTTAATTTTCATTTCTGTAATGATTAGTGATGCTGAGCATCTTTGCATGTGCTTATCGGCCGTTTAAGAATTATTTTTCTGTTTCCCTCTTTGTAGTGCAGAAGGTAGCCCACAGTGCGTGCGCATGCGCTGCTCTGCTGCCTGCTTCTCCCCCGCTGCAGTGCACCTTGGGAGCCGTCCCATGCCGCCGTCCTGCTCATTCTTTTCTGCAGCTGCATCGTGTTCCAGGGTATGGGTCACGGCTTCTCACCCGCTTCCCTGTGGATGAACGTCTGGGTCATTCCCAGCCTTTGTCCCCTCCCAGCCCTGCAGTCACTGGCCTTCACTGGTGTCATCTCACTTGCAATCCCCCGAAGTGGGATGCTCCGTCAGAAGGAAGTGCATTGGTGAGGGGACGCGCTCTAGCTTCAGGAACCCTGGGTCCCTTTCTCCTTTCTAGCTTCAGCGTCCCCAGCCTGGACAGCACATGGACGGCACTGAGCAGAAGCCCCCACTAAGCACAGAACCAAAAGGGTGAAGAAAATTAGAAATATTTTACCTCAAAACATGGCATTTGACATTCTGGAGTGACTGCAGAAGCCTCAAGGTCTCTCTGACCTCCACACCCACTCCCCCCACTGGCTCTCCCAAAATCTTGAAGTTTCTTTATCTGCCTGAGATCCGGACCCACCTAGGAGACCAATTTTCCTTTTATTCCCCACACCTGAACAGACTCCAGTCTCTCAGACTCATTTAAATTCCCAAAAGGGAACTATTGACCAGTTAATCTTTCTTCCCATCCGTTCTTCCTCCCTGGGGGTCCTCTTCCCTCCCCCCGAATAACTCATTTTACCAGCGTTTGGTGAAAATCCCAGGACTATAGAAGAACCATCCCCCCCCCAAGAGTTTATTAGTGGTTACTTACAGGGGCACCTGATGCTGGGGGCGGGGGTCAGGAATTTCTTGCACAGGAGCTTGCATGCAAAATCCATATCTGCCCATTCTGTGGGGTTGCTTTAAATCCCTTCCCAATGAGTGAGGCAACGTTTTTACATTGTATGTTTCCTTATTTATAGTGAAACAAATCACACGGTGTAGTACCGTCATCCTATGTTGTCACACAACCCGTGTCATGCTAATGATATTACAATTTTCCACCAGGCAGGGATTTTAGTATCACAATTAGCCAAAGGGTACTATAGGACAATCCAAGCAGTTCTTTTTTTTTTTTTTTTTTTTTGAGACAGAGTCTCACTCTGTTTCCTGGCTAGAGTGCCGTGGCATCAGCCTAGCTCACAGCAACCTCAAACTCCTGGGCTCAAGGGATCCTCCTGCCTCAGCCTCCCAAGTAGCTGGGGCTACAGGCAAGCGCCACCACACCCGGCTAATTTTTTCTGTTTTTAGTTGTTTGGCCAATTTCTTTCTATTTTTAGTAGAGACGGGTCTCACTCTTGCTCAGGCTGGTCTCAAACTCCTGAGTTCAAACAACCCGCCCGCCTCGGCCTCCCAGAGTGCTAGGATTACAGGCGTGAGCCACTGCCCGGCTTCCAAGCAGCTCACTCTTGCTCAGGCTGGTCTCAAACTCCTGAGTTCAAACAATCCGCCCGCCTCGGCCTCCCAGAGTGCTAGGATTACAGGCGTGAGCCACTGCCCGGCTTCCAAGCAGCTCTAAAGCAGTCACGGCCAGTTTGAGCCAGCCATTTCAGGGCAGGAAAGTGCTAAGGCACCTGAGAAAGTACTAGGTACTCCCATCCCCCAGTGGTTACCTTGGTACCTGCCTAGTCTACCTTGTAGCAATTTTGCTGAGCACTCCAGGCTAGCATGGTATTTCTGTTATGTGATGACAAACTTGCATTTTTTCCTCAACCAGAAAGGCATATAAGCTTCTGAACCCCTTTGGGGAATTGAATCCTCATTTTTCTGGGGGTTCCCATGTATACACATTAAATAAATTTTCTAACTTTTCTCCTATTCATCTACTTTATTGTGTGTTGATTTTTCAGCGAATCTTCCAAGGATGAAGGGGAAGGTTTGTTACAGAGGTAAAGGTCTGAAAAGGGGCAATGAAATGTTTTACGAGCAGTCTCTTTAAAACCCCCACACTTTTTGGGAATTAAAACCTGCATTCCTTCTCAAGGCCAGAAAAATATTTTTTTGCTGTTTGATTTCTAGTATCCTAAATCACAGGACATGGCAGAACAGAATTGTCCAGACAAGGGTCATGAGATCATTGTCATTGGAGATAAGGTCGACGGAAACCACCAGTTATAGTTAAACAACAATAGCCTGAAGCCACACTGGTCACACGGACCTGAGCCCAACCTCCGAAACTCCCAGCTTTAAAAAGCCATGTACTTTTGCTTAAACACAGGATGGTGGTCTTTGAGACACTAGTCCACCGTCCCCCTCATTTGCTGGCGAATTAATAAACTTCTCTTTCCTTTTCCTCAAACCACTTGTCCTCCTCCTTCTTTCTCACTGATTTGGCCTTGGGCACAAGGACCAAATTTTTGGTAACGGTTTTGCCTTTGCCCCCACAGTGTGGCACAGCGAGCAGGGTCATCAAAGCCGCTCTGCCCTTCTGAAGGCTGTAGGGAAGGGCATCCAGGGCCCGATGGAGCCAGCAAAGTGGGAAAGCGCTTTTGACCAGTCAGACTCCCGATTTCGACCTCTCTGGTCTCCAGTTAAGCAGACAGTAAAAATTATTGTCTCCTCTTTCCTTTCCAAATTTAAGATTAATGCAAGAAAAGCATTTTGCACAACTAGTCTTGGTAAATCAACTCTGGTGTGTTTTTTGGTCCCTGTCAGTGTGACACTCATACCACCCAAGATGCTGTGTAAGGGTCAGCAGGGAACACTGGGGGCTTCTTTTCCTTGGATGGGAACAGATCGATCCTAACATCCTGCATCTGAGCAGCCACCAGGGTCTTCTGGGCCCTATCCTCACACTCAGTGTCTCTGTCCTGGGTCACCCTTGTCATCTCTCCTAGACACAGCCACAGCTCTGACAGGTGAGGTTGAGGAGTCCTTCCCATTTTGATCACGTGAACCTGTTCAGCCCCATCCGACCTTCCCCTCACCAGGGGCCTTGTGCTCTGGGTCCCTGGACGCCTGGGTCCACATCATGCAAACTTCAGAACAATGACAACCACCCAGTCCTGACACCCTCACCCAAGGCAAGCATCCAGTGAGCCTCACCAGGCTCACTAAAAATAGGCAAAGGACTCAAATAGGCATTTCTCCAAAGAAGATATACAAATAGTCAACGAGCACATGAAAGGACGCTCAGCTGGGGTCGGGGAGCAGGACGCTTGCTCAAGAGCTGCTCCAGGCCGGGTGATGGGTGAGGTTTCAAGGTCAGGCATGGGAGTGGGGTCAGAAATTAATCATGGAAGGTTCCCACCACATTGTAGGCAGAATAGCAGCCTGAGTCTCTGGGCCAGGGAGACTCGCCAGGAGGCCAGCATGGGCTCTCAGCCTCGCCCAGGTCACACCCCAGGTGCAGAAATCAGCCCTGCAGGGAGTGACAACGGATGTGTCATCAATCCTAATGTCCAGACATGTGCAAAGGGCTCGCAATCTATAAATTAGAGAAGAATCAGATTACCCCTGTAATAACTTTCTCGTTGCCTCTTTGTCACATAGGATAGAACGGGCCGCCTTCCCCTCAGTCCCTCCCCACCTGTGAGCTCCCTGGTGCAGCTCCTGGGAAGAAGCCTCCCTGAGTCACTGTCCGAGGTGCTGATGACCATGAGGAGGAGGTGACAGTTCACGGTGATGACCGTGAACTATTGAAGGGCTCGTGAGCTGCGATCTTCCGGTTGCGTGTGCTCTCGTTCATTCTGAACTGAGCATGTCACCAGGGACAGGCTGGAGAGGTCCTGGGGGCATGGAGAGCCCTCCAGCTCCCTGTCTTGGGACCTGGAGGCTGCTGTGGGTGTCACTGCAGGAACTGACAGCCCAGCCAGGGTCACCCTGTCCAGGTGCTCGCGTGTAGTTGGCACTGAACGAAGATGATAAAATGGCCTTGAGAGGAGTGGGGGGCAGAACACGGGCCTCTCAAAGCTTTGCACACCCTCATGCGCAGAGTCTGTGGATATGTTACGTGGGAAAAGAGACTTGACAGGTTAGAGGAAGGATCATGAGATTGGGAGAGTATTGTCATTTATCCAGGTGGCACCAATATAATCACAAGGCCCCTTCATTACTGATGAGAAAGGGAGGCAGGAGGGTCAGGGGAGGAGGAGGAGATGCAAGGATGGGAGCAGAGCACAGAGAGCTCCCGAGACACTGTGCTGCTGGCTTTGACGATGGAAGAAGGGGACATAGCCAAGGATGCGGGTGACCTCACCAAGGTGGAAAAGGTGAGGAAGCAGACTCTCCTGGAGGCTCCAGAAAGAACACTGCCATGCGGGCACCTTGGTTTGTGTTGTGTTTGTGTTGTTTTATGCCACTAAATGTGTGACATTTGTTATAGCAGTAATAGGAAACTAAGGCAAGAGGCATCACCTTGTCTAATCGGAGATTGCGCGGGTGGATAAGGAGTCAGAGCTAAATCATGACGTGAAATGTTGCAGCTGTATTTCTTACCTCTCAGCTCAGGACAAATGACACTCAGCAGTAGCAGAACATCCTCAGGAACTGTGACTCTGGGCTTCAGTGTGCGGACGGGCTTGTTGGGGAGAATGTGGCACCTGACCTGCACCGCCCGGGGGTGCTCTGTCCTTGCCCATCTGTGTGTGACATCGGATGGCCCCGTCTTCTGTGCCCCTGAGACCCAATGCGCATCCACGGAGGGGCGAAGGCTGGGAGCTGTCCCTGGTGCCCTGGTCCCTGGGGTGGTGTGAGGACAGCTGAGCGCTGCGGCCTGGGCAGGCTCTCGTGGATGTCACCCTCCCCTGTGTGTGGTCCACCCCATCCTGAGTCCCAACCCCCGACTCCTGTCTCCAAGGGAAGAGAGACCGGGGTTGGGGTGACGTAGGGACAGTATTTTCCCTGTGTGACCCAGGACTGAGCGCACATGGACTGAGTGAATTTCTGCTAAGTTCCCATGAGCAGAAAGAGAGCCAGCGAGCGGAGGGTCCTCTTTATTCAGTCCTTTCCAGGTGGTCCTTGGTGCCACAAGCCCATTCACTGTCCCTGGAAGCCCTACTTCCTGTGGTGACAGGAGGCCTTATCCCAGAGCCCTGGCAGCCCGTCCAGGTGTGCAGACACCAGGAGGGACCCCCATCCCCAGCCACAGGACCCAGAGGCTGCCCAGGACTCAGCTGATTCTCTGGCTCAGGCTCCATGTCCTGCCTCCTCCACAGGGTTGGGGACTTAGGGGACCCTCCGTCAGCCCACAGGGGCAGTTCCTGGAGGAAGCTAAGAAGCCACATCTGCTCTGTGGTCGATCCGGCAGTACATGTTTGTGTCAGGGTGTAGCAGTTCCTGCAAAGAGAAAGAAGAGGCCTCTGACCCCTGCAGGCTTCTCAGAGCAGGGAGCGGCCTCTCCCAGCTCTGGGCCCACCGGGCTGCTCTGTGGCTGGACCTGGCTGTGCTCAGGGGGCTCCTGCTCCCAGGCCCCTCCCTGCTCTGCCCACCACTCCCTGTTCCCGTTTTCACTGCAGTTTCCTGAGTCTCCAAGCTCAGCCAGGTGTGGGGTGGGGGCAGATCCTGGGTCCCCCGGGGCCTGCGGGACCAGAACATGGAGGGCCACACTCACCTCGTAGGTGGGGCCGGCTGCCCTGGGGCTGGGTCGGGGGGCCTGGGTGGGCAGAGAGAGCCACATCAGGGGACAGGGAGGAGGGTCATGGAGGCCGGGGCTGAGCCTGGAAGGGTCTTGTCTCTGACCAGCCAGGGCTTACGTTCCGAGTCTACTTTGGGGCATTTCCCCTCAGGAGGGACCAGCTCTGCCTCCTGAGCTCAGCCTCCCAGCCTGGACACGACACCCCAGTCCCTGTCCCGTGCCCTCCCTGCACCCTTGTTAACCCGGGACGCTGACTGACGCTCCCAGCACCCACTCTGCTCCTGCTGGACTCTGGGGTCTCCTGGGGCGGGGTTAGGACAGGGTGTGGGTGGTCCTGGCCCTGAGGAGAGGCCCAGCTCCTGGCCAGGGCGGGCCTAACCTTGTCCTGGCCATTCCAGGGGAGGGAGGGTCGGTGCTGGGGGTTGACAGTCCCCCTGCCCTGAGCCTACACAGCTGGGATCCCCTTGAGAAGGGGCTGGGGAGGGGACGGGCTTACC